TTGTTGGTATCTTTGAGCCATGATCTTCAGTGTGCTTTTGGGTGGTTTGTAGCAGAGTGTGAAGCAGCTGGGATGAGTCGGCTCATCAAAGTCCAAGACCATAGTTCAGAAGGGAGCTCAGAGTAGAGAAGATGCTCCTCTGGATTGAAAGGAGTCAGCTAAGGTGGTTTGGGTATCTAATTGGGATGCTTCCTTTCAGAGGCTTTCTAGACATGTAACCTTGGGAGAAGACCCTGGGGTAGCTCCAGAACTTGTGGGAAAGATTTTATAACCTCTCTGGCATGGGAACACTTTGGAATAAAGAGTGTTGTTGTGGAGAGGGAGCCTGGGTTTCTACCACTCATCTGACCACAAAGTGTTGGTGGGAGCTGGACGGATGTGTTTTTGTCTAATATCAACATTTCTTTGATCATCTGATTCATGCAAGTATGACAGAAAAGCAAAAGCAGAATACGTGTAAGAGGGTGATTAGTTGTTCTGCAACGTGCCGCTCTGAGTGACAGACCACCTCTGATTTATCATCGTTTTCTTTTAATCAGGTTTTTAAAGAAATATTAGTGCAGAATCCTTAGATGAAATTACAGGATTACATAGACTGGATTTTAAAATTAATTTTTGTATTACTTTTTTCCATATCATTTTCTATACAGATCTATTATCAGGGTGAGTCATCCGTTCCTTAATGTATGAAAATGCTACGGTCATTTCTACACAGTGCAATGAAATGTTGAGACTGTAGCCAGAAGTCAGTGTACGAGTTCCATCTTTTAAAATGAGAAGTTACGGAAAACAAAGGACATGTTAAATAACATTGTTTCATGGCTTTCTATTTATAAGAATATGCAAATACCATTATAAGCAGGTTTCACTGTATCGATTTATGAACACTTAATGTGTTGATGGTTTGTGATCTATTTTAAATACATGTTATATTAAACATGCATGTTCTCCAAGTGTCTGTGGATTTTTATGTGCTTGTAAAATAGACAAGATTAAAGTGGCTTTGTGTTTCAAAGTGTAGCAGAATGCTAAGAAGCCACTTCTGAACAACCATTGTTCTCCTCAGATAAATAATGTTTCATTATTATTTTATATATGAATGTTTCTGTTCAGTGTCCTGAGATGATTCTCTTGTGACTTGGAGCTTCAGAAATAAACTGAACTGAATTAGGAAACGTCAGGAAACTGTCCTCAACCGAACCGAAGTAAAGAACGTACTGGAACCCTGTGGATGTGACTGCGTTTGAAACATCGGAGCTGAAACTTTTTGTGGTTTACATGAGTAAATTATTTCTGTGCAGAAAGATGAATCAAAATAATGATTTCCATAAACTTTAAGTGTGAATGTCTCTTTATAATCAACTCATCATAAGAACTTTATTGATCCCACAGGAAATTGTTGCGTCAGAGTTTCTGTACAAAGGAACAGACACAAGATATAAATAATAAGAGAATATAAAAATACCAACATCAAGATGTAAAACAGGTTCAGGTGCAGACAGAAACATTGGTTTATTTTGGTGCAGGATTCGTTTTATTGTCGTCTGTGCAGGAAGGGGGAGGAGTTTAACAGTTGGAAGGACTTCTTGTGTTGTTCTGTGGAGCACCTCGTGGTCTCAGTCTACAACTGAAGGTCCAAGGTGTCATGCAGGGGGAGGAGGGGGGGGCGTGTTGTTCAGGATCTGGAGCAGGTTCCTCAGCATCCTCTGCTCAGACACCTCTGAGGAAAGTCTTAATCCCAGTCTTAAACTGGACAATGTGTCAGCCTCATGGACAGAAACTGGAAGTTGGTTCCACAAGAGAGGAGCCTGAGAACTGAAAGATCTTCCTCTCATTCTGCTGCTGGAAACTCTAGGAACCACAAGTAAACCTGCAGTCTGAGAGCAAAGTGCTCTGTTAGTAAAATATGGAACAATAAGATCTGTAATATAAGATGGAGCTAGGTTGTTGACAGCTTTGTAGGTTAGAAGTAAGATTTTGAATTCAGTTCTGGATTTGACAGGGAGCCAATGGAGAGAAACTAAAACTGGAGATATGTGATCTCTCCCACTGGGACCAGCAGATCTACAGCAGGTGAAGAGGCCTCCTGAGGCTTGGGACCCTCAGGAGGCTCGCTGTATTTGTGCTTGCACATATTGTGTTTGACCCTTTAAAGGCAAATAATGTACAAAGTACATTTTCTCACTTTAATTCCACAAAGTTTGTGGAAATCCAGCTGCGTGGAACTTGTTTTAAAGACATTACAACTTCATTTCCATCCATCCATTTTCTTTACCCGCTTATATCATTTTGGGTCACGAGGGTCACTGGTGCCCATGTCCAGCAATCACTGTGCGAGGGGCGGGGGACACCCTGGACAGGTCTCCAGTCCATCACAGGGACACATAGAGACAAACGAGACAAACAACCATTCACTCTCTCTCTCACACCTAGGGACAATTTAGAGTTACCAATCAGCCTAACATGCATGTTTTTGGTCTGTGGGAGGAAACTGGAGCACCCGGAGAAAACCCACGCATGCACGGAGAGAACATGCAAACTCCACCCAGAAAGGCCCCTGGACCGGGGTTTGAACCAGGGACCTGCTCGCTGAGAGGCAGCAGCTCTACCAGTTGCACCACCGTGCTGCCCAGTGTGGCGTATATAAAATGAAAAAATGAATGGAAGAAATGATGTTTAAAGAAACAGCTACACTATAGAGCGATATAAAACACAGGACTGAATCCAGGAACACGTCTGCATCAACGCACTTTAACAAAGCGTCACGTTGGCACGACGTGTGTTTATGGGCAAATAAAAAAAAACGTTACTACTAGACTTTCTTGTGTTCAACTCAACTAAAGGATGTTTCTGTGTTTAACAATGGACAGTTCATTTCAGAGAACCTGACTCCACCTTGTTAGATCTAGTGACAATGTTGCTTTCATTATTTAACTTGCCTATAAACACGTGTAGTGCGGACGTGCATGAAAGCTGAAATTTCTTTAAAACCCCGAACTTATTGTCCTCAAACTTTGTGAGAAACATCCTTTAAATGAGTAGCGTTGAACACAATTAAAGCAGTCTATTGGTAATGTTTCATTTAATTTACCAATAAACATTTAATAAATAATGAAAGTTTTCTACATTCGCCTTATGATCTAGCTGCTTTTGTCACTTTTTTGCCATCTTATTTGTAAAAAATAAAAATCTGTATGCCTTTTTATAATTGTCTATTGTTGTCATCACTCCTTGTTAAATCAGGTCTCTCTTGTGAATGAGTCCTGGAGGCTCAATGGGACTAACTGTAGAAATAAAGCTTGAATGAATGAATGAATGAATGAAAAACCGCACGTAGCGCCGACCTGTTGCTGTGCGTTAAAGTGCATTAAAGTTGAAATATCTTTAAAACCCACAGCTGAATTTGCACAAACTTAGTGAGAAACAAGTTTTAAACTTATGGAATCTGAGTAAGAAAATGTACATGAAAAGTTGCTCTGTTGTAAGTTGTTGTTCTTTAAACAGGGGACGTACACAACGCCGCATGTGCAAATACAGCCCAGGCGTACCTCTCAACCGTAAAGGATGTTTTAATCCAGCACTCTGGATTGGAGCGAGAGGAATGTTTCTGAGTCCGGGGGAGGTTTTACCTCAGTGGAATGGGGGGGTTAGGATGAGCGAGGGAAGCGGAGCGTGCTCTGTTCACACAAGGAGAGCTGTTGGTCAGGCCATTTCTTGTTGCTCTTGAAAATAGTTATTGAATCAAGGGTTTACTTATGGAGCTCAACATAGATGTTCAACAACCCGTTCAAATATACCAAAATGCAGAAAATGGCATCAACATTCATTTTTTACATTTCTAAAGATTTCACAATGAAACAGATTAAATGTTTGCATAAACCATGTCTTTATATCAAATGTAATCAATTTATTCCCAACAGTTAGGCAGAAGAGTCAGGAAAGGTGACGTTAATGACTTCATTGATGAATTGGAGGTTGTCTCAGACCTCGGAGCACTGAACCAGAACATCCACGTAGAAGAAGCAGTTCGTAAAGTTCCGTATGTGAGGAAGCAGCAGACTCGCTGAACCTCCCGTCCTGAGCAAGAACAGCAGCAGCAGCTTCAGGTCGCAGAGCAAGAACAGCA